CCATAACTTTTGGTGTGAAGACTTTTCCAAAAACATGGATATTTATTTCTTAAGGCTTATGATTTGTACATTTAGTGGGAATTTTTTTTCCTTTTATAAATGGAAATGATTAGTAAAGCAAATACAGTATATATCCTTTAAAGTTGGAAAATGAACTTGCTATTTTTACTTTTAAAATTTGCATTTATTTATTTATTCATTTGTTTTGTGTGTGCTTGTGTGTATTGTGGTCCATCAAAGGACAACTTTGCAGGAGTCCGTTCTACCACCATGTGGGTTCTGGGAATCAAACTCAGGTCATCATGCTTGGTAGCAAACACCTAAACCGACTGAGCCATCTTGCTGGCCCACTTAAAATTTTAAGTATATATTTTTTTTTAGTTTAACATACTTTATTTTGTCATTAACTCATAAATTTGTTTTATTTTTAAGGTTGAACTATTGGGAATTGTTTTTGTAAGAAAAAATTTCAATGCTAGCATTATATGTAATGTTAAATTACTTTCATTTTTGTGATGCTAGGAGTCAGACCAGTACCTCCTGCATATTAGACAAGTTGTCTAACACTCAGGTATACCCACAGCCCTAAATTGCTTTTTTAAAAAATTATTAAAAATTTATTTTTATTTTAGTGTGTGTTTTATCTGTGTATATGTAAGCACACCTGTGCTGTGCAAAGCCTACTGAGGCCAGAAGAGTGCATCCAATCCCCTGGAACTGGAGTTACAGATGATTGTTAGCTGCCATGTGGGTGCTGGGAATCAAACCCAGGTCCTCTGAGGAACAGCCAGTGCTTTTAACTGCTGAATCATCTCTCTAGCCTCCTAAATTACTTTTAACTACTGCCCTCCCCTTAACTGAAGTAATAATTACTATTAATAATAGGGCACATAGTTTCATATTAAACATTTCAATATTTAAGCCATGAGTGGTTATAGCAACAAGTTTGTTATAGATGGATTAAATTGTGAGTCCTTGTGTTTAAGCTCTTTCTGTCCAAGTTTTTCAGGAAAATGGGGAAATGAAATTATACCTTTAAACGATATGTTGGGGTGTTTGCTCCTGGATGATTTTTTTAAGGTTGATTTCATAAACTAATAAATTAAATTTGTTTGAAATAAACATGAATTGGAAACAACATTCGAGACCATTAGAGGTACAGATATTCATTTCTTACAAAGAGGAGATAAATCAAACGTTAGAAAGTTCAAATAATTCACCCAGTTATGCAGCTAAGAAGAAACAGAATGATACTAGACTACAGAATTACTGTGTTGAGAGAAACTGAACAGGCAGGCAAGGTACACCATGGCTTCAAAGTCTGGCTTCAGCACTTGTTAGTGGTTGTTAGTGGGCAAAGTTTGAAATAGTGTTCCTCTCTCTTGTTTGTAAGGGGTAATTATGTCACCTGTTTCCAAGATTATTACAAAGATTAAACAAGAAAATAGGGAAGAATGTCTACTACCTGGTAAATTCAGTAAATATTGGCCTTTCTTTCAGTGTATTTTTTTGTATTTGTCACTTTTTGTTATGACAAAATGCCTTAGTGGGAAAGATTTACTTTGACTCAAATGTAAAGGTTTCACCCCGTTTTCTGCTGGTGCTGCTGTATC